AAATCCTGAAACACCTGACAAGGATTTTTTTAAAAATTTTCCTAGTCAGCTGCCTAAAATTCTAAGAGTAGTCCTCATGTATTCTTGCCTTGTGAAGGAGAAGCATGCCCTAAGGCCCCTGTTGCTGTACATTTTAAACAAAACAGCACAAAATTTAAATATGTAGGGATGCAAATTAAATATGTTCATATTAGGAACACTGCATAATATCATTAAGTTATAGCAAAACTAATTACTGTGCCAGTCTTTGATTACTTACCAAAGAGGTCAGTTACACCTAAAAACATTTATTTGGTAATATTTAAACCTCATCAGCTTGGGTGCAAAATAGTCCTACTAATGCATGGAAGTATTCCTTCCATTTGCAAAGAAGTGGTGAATTCAGGGAGGGCGTTGTTTTTTTTTCAAATTTTCATTTTCTCATGAAAGCCTCCCAACTTCTTGAGTAGATTGTGTGCAAGGATATTTCAAGCAGCAAGGAAATCAATGGAAAATATTTCATAATGATGTAATTCTATTATAGGACCTTGGCTGGTTAGACAGATAAATTTACAGATCTATTTCTTTTAACAATGATATTCTTCTTTCTGAGTCAAGGAAGTAATCTCCCAAAGACTTGATGGAAGATCCAAGGGAATAGAGTAGCTAGTGAGGATGTTTCATTCACTCTGGATATTCAATCAGTTTGGAAAGTTGATACAAATTGACTGAATTATTGAAATGGATGAATAAAATCTATAATTTGATTTTAATATTTGAAATGATTTAGTCCAGTGCAGTGGCCTAGAGATGGAGCTCTCGCCTCACAATCAGGAGGCTGTGAGTGCGATCCTAGGTAGAGGCTAATATTTGGAATAGACTCTCCTGCTTGAGCAGGGGTTGGATTAGATGACCTCCAAGGTCTCTTCCAAATCTGTTGTTCTAGTTCAAGTTTAACAAGTGGACCAATCTGAATAGATTTAGATTGAGCTGAACCATTACAATGCATATATTTGTCACCAGAAATGAGTCAAGTCCACCCATTAATCTGATTCACTGAATATCCAAAATCCCTCTGAATCATATCCAGATTCATTTGGAACTTTTTTCAAAAGAGAATGGGCTAAAAACAAACATGTGATTTGCAAAAAGAAGCAAAATAGTCAAAATTTATAATCCAGCCTTCCTCACTGAGTACTCACTTCAGCCATGTTGACTAAGAATTTAAACTCGTCAGATGGCCTTCAAAAAAAGAATGATACCAATTTCCCCACCCTTAACAGTGGCTAGTTTGTAGCTTCCAAGTATTCTCTTTCTTTCTGCCTCCCTCCCCTTCCTCCGTCCTCTCTCTTTTCCTCTCCCCACTTTGTCTTTGCTTTGTTTCTGAATATCATATTCTTCAGTAGTTTACCATTAAAAAAATTCTTCAATTCTGCTAGATTAAAAAAACACAAGACAAAGAAGCAGACAAGAGAAATAGGCTCTGCAAAATTTCTCTTTCAAAGCCGGTTGGATAAAAAAGAAAAAAGAATCTTGAAGCTAGGTTAATTTGAATGAAATGGAAAGAGGGGGAGGAACTTAAAAGCACTCGCCCTCTTGTGGTTACTTGCTTTTATGTGTTCAGTATAAAAAATAAACCACTGGAAACCTTTTGTTTTAATGAATGAATCTGAAAACTTAATAAATTGCCTCCTTTCAATACTTTATTGCAAATGTATTTTTAAAAAATCATTAAATTGTCTTTTGTGGAGATTTCTGTTAGATGTCAAGGAAGTGGAAAATATACAGATAACCTCTGAAAACATTAAGACATTTATTTTTAGTAAACCTGCTCAGATTCAGGCAAAGTTGGTATAAATTTGGTTACAGTTTCCATTTATTCCTCATTACCTGCTGATCATTATCACTAGAATGTCAATATTATCTCCTCCTTACTCATAATTGTCATTTACAACTTTTAAAAAAATTGCTTGCTGAATTACCATTTTCTTTTCTGTTCAATCATGTCTGACTCTCAGACGCTGCCTGGATAAGTCCCTTCAGGGTTGTTGTTTTTTCCAGAAGTGATTTGTAATTCCTAGAGCTGAAATAAAGTGACCAGCCCAACTGGTCATCCAACTGGTTTTGTGCCCAAGGCAGGACTAAAAGTCAGAGTCTCCTGGATTGTAGCTTGATGCCTTAATGACTACACAAAAGTGGCTTTCTAATTACCAATAGCATATTATAAATCCAACAGTGGATTAACACAGTCCAGTAGCTATTAGTCATCTGAATGTAAAATTAGGGTGTTAGCTAGATTACTATAGCTTATTGCAGCAATATTCACTTTTGTGATATTCTTGATAAGTATAGTAATAGTCATTCTTGCTTCCCAAAGGCAATTTAAAATACAAGCATTTTAGCTGACTGTAAATATGATCTTACTAGTAAAAAGCTTTATGTAATTTTCAGGTATCTTCTGTTAATTGTGTTAAATGTAGTTATTGTGATGCCATGTTAGACTGCCATTTTCCTTCTATTTATTTATCATTATTAATTTAACAAAAAGTAATCTGGATTGTCAGCAGCACCTGTCAAGAAGTTACCTGGTCTCTTGGATCAGAGAATACCTGTAGTTTGGTATGATTTGGGTACATCAGCCTTTGGAATTATCCATTTCTTATTTCATCTCGAAATAAGCCGCTAAACCTTTTATTTTTTTTCCTTTCAAATTATCTTAATCTCAGTTCAGAAAGGATGTGTGAGAGCTCTATAAACTATAACTTAGAAACTTTATCAGAATATTTTAGAAACCACTGAGATAACTTTATTAAATTAATTTGCTTTCAAAAATTAAAAAAGAAACTACACTGCTTTTATTTTCATAATTTAAGCTTGACAAAACTGAAGGTATATTTCCATTCATTTTCATTTATTCTCTACTGCTCCATTGAAAAGATGGATGTTTTCAAGAACAACAAGCAGAATACCGGTAAAGAATATTTCTCATATTTTATTCAATTATTTTTGAAATGTAACCTAAAAAGGTTTTGACTTCTACTTATACATTTCAACAGCTCTATATTACATAAATTTCCTTTATGATTAGATGCAACATGTTGTTTCTTATTTTCGGAATAAGTTCTAAAAAGATAGATAACCACAAGAGGGCTATAATCAGCATATAAATTGAATATTATGCAGTATTGTTTTGTGCAACAAAACTTTGCTTGAGCTTTACATTTCATCATGGAATAAACTAGTAAAGAAAGAGAAATGATCTTGAGGAAGGTTCTTTATGTTTGAAGTAAGTTATGTCTATAGTCTGAACAGAACATTTCAGGATTTTTTTTCCTGCTTTTGCTATACTGAATTCTAGTCAATACTGATAACATGCTAAATATAACATTGACATAATTATAATCACAATTGTTCCTACAAAGACAAATCACAGTAGTTTGAACATTGATAAGTTCTAGTTGAAAGAAATAATGAGTTGCTGGACTATTGGCCACTTTCTGGGCAATGGCATAACAAATATTAACCATGTGATTCTGTAAGCCAATTGAGCTGCATACCACAGTTGAAGCGTGTCACAGTTGCCTTTGGAGCCTGTTTTAAGCAGAAAAAGTACAAACCTCTAGAACTCAAGCAATGTCGAGAAACCACAGTTCATTCCATCTGTCTTAGAGAGTTCTGTGGTAAACTGGATGCAGTGTCTGCCCCTCAGATGGTCTATCAAATTCCCTCCTTCTGACTGTTTATTGCTTCATAGAGTAAAACCACTGGAGTAAAATCACCTCTAACCATCTTTTAAAAGGAGAGAACGAGTCATTTTTCTTTGCTTTCATAGCAAACCCTTCTCAGGCAAGCCAGGGTGAAGGGGGGTGGGGAGATGCATTTTGGTAAGTGCTACACTGACATATATACCAAGGATACAGTGGGAATGCATGCCATTTAGCAGCAGGAATGTCTGTTTTTAAATCATACATGCTTCTCGGCATGTCTTTTTCTGCAAACAGAACATCTGAATCAACAGGTTTTCAGAATTGGAAACTCTGAGAGAGTTGTTTTAATTGTTTATATTGCTCCAACAAACTTTTAAACAAAAGTGCTCAGTGTGCCTATGCATATTTTTACTACCATATGTTGGGCTAAGCAAAACAATGAGATTCCTTGCAAGCTGCCTTAGCATCACTGAAAAGTGCTTTCACTAGGGAACAGCATTAATTTCCAGAAAGTTTAAGTCGTAAATCTTTAATTTCTTATTATTGGTAAGTCTGAATGTTTGACTGTCCTGAGCATAGGCACACATATGGACGTGTGTGTACAAATGGTAAACATTGAAGATAATTGATTATATATTTATCATTTAATAGCAGCTGAAATTAATTACTGCTTGCAGGAATTGAAAATGAGTTGAAAAATAAGTAGTTGAAAATGCACCCCATCAAAGTTGCACTCTTTGGCAGAAAACTCTAGGACTACCATCTTTCTTTGCTTTGTTTTTTTTCCCACTGTGCTAAAGTCAGCATTACAATTTGGATTGCCTACAACTATTTGCCCCACTTAGTATTAGGTTTTCTGACAGTAGCTGTTAACACTTTTACTGCCTTGAACATTTGCAAGGAACTGAGTAACAAATATTTATCCTCATCTTGACAGATTTTACAGTGAGTTGATTTAGAAACTGATTGTAGCTGTTTTTCTTTACTTACACCATTTTAAAAAACACTCCTTGCCCATTTGCCTATTTACTACCTCATTCTGGTTAGAACTGATCAGTTCTTTTCTCAAGTAAGGAAGGAAGTACCCTTAATATGAAGTACTTCAACATGTTAGATGCTTGTACTTCACTTGTTCAACTTGTTTGGTAAGTATAAATAAAACATCTGCAATCAAGGCTGAATTCTACAAAACTACATTCCTTCACACTTTTTCTCTCTACTTTCCCACCACCTCATCTTGAATGTAACAGCTTCAAAGAAAGGTTAATTGCAACTAATAACATTGTGCTTCCTTTTCACCCGCATAGCACCCACCTGATTCTGCAAACGTTATGATCTCAGATGTTTGTTCCATCAATTCATTCTTTTCTGTTCTTCTTCCAATGTCATTCTCTATTTCCACATTACCATCCTCTCTCACTTTTCCGACGTGGAGTTTCTTGATAGCATTTAAAAGTGCAGCTTTGGGCACTGGCTGAGTGATGTTAGGTCTGTCTCTCAAGTGCAACATGTTCAAGATATGCTTCTTTACAGCTTCTACCATCTCAGGCTGGGAGCTGGGCACATTCTTGGAGAGAGTGCCAAGGGCACAGGATGGGCAATCAGAAACTAAACTGTGCCCCTCCGATCCTGAGGCTGGTGAACTTTGCACTATAATCCAGAAAAATAACAATACCAATCTTCTAGTCAGAAGCAAAGGCATTCTTGCAGCAAAAGTTGTTGTGATTCCTTTTTTAAAAGGCAAGGCTTTTCTTCCCCCACAATTACTTCTTCACCCAGTTGGATTTTTCCCCTTTCTGCTTCCTCTTTTCTCTTCAGGAAGAACAAAAAGTTTTCGATGAAGTTTGGTTTGAAAGGTCCCTCTCTGAATTCACTAAGTGCAAATGATGTCTTTGACTGTCAGTGAGAGGAATCTGACTCTGTCGCGCTGTAGGCAAAGCACACGCTGAGAAATAGGCAGAGAGAAATGAGGGAGGAGGAGAGCCTAAGTGAGTTGAATGAGAGAGGGAGGGAGTTTTGTCTATGAGTAAAGCTCTGATTGAGAAGGCGGAGGAACAGCTTAAGCCTTCCTTATGCTCATTGCACTCTAGCACATATTTCTCATTTATATTGGCACTCCGGCTTATGATCTGGCCACTTTTGCCTTTGAAATCACTTTCTTTTTCATAGTTGCCTGTTAGTTTCCTGTCTTGGCTCCCTCCATCCCTCCCTCCTTCCCTTACCCCCACCCCAAATTAGACATCTCTGAGTTTTTTTTCCTCTTCCTATCTTTTTCACGAACTCCCTCAGACCAATTTAATAGGGTGAAACTGAAATGAGAAGGCTATTTATTGATAGCCTTGGAATACATCTGAACACACCCAAAGGAGATGTTCAGAAAAGTCCAACTGCTTCCTACTTCAAGTTCTGTCCACAATAAGACTTGGGCATAAGAACTAAATCTGTGGATTAAAACTTGAAGTCCTTTGTCATCCATTGTAACACTTTTAAGATTAATCCATGCTTATGGCTTGAAGAGAACTAAACTAAAAATTACTTAAGATGGACATTTAATGAGTTGACAAAGTCATGTGACTTAAAAGTGTATCCTTTTCATTTGATTTAATGGAGAATTCTCTTTTTTCTGATACCACATATTGGGACCCTGTTTTTTTAATTGCTCTGTTAAGAGGCAAATATTTGTTTACTGTAAATGGATTGTCATTAATTTCTTCAGCTGTTAGTTTGTATTGAGACAAGGATGATGTTCCATATCTTTTTTACAATTTGGTCAGATAATAAACTATGTTTGAGACCTCAGTTGTCGTTTTTTCTTCCCATTTAATTTATATTATCTTAATTACTTTAATCATAAATCATAAAGCTGTACCCATGAATTTACCATTTTGCATAATTTTCTTATACTGCAATTTAAGATTTAGTCTTTTAGAAATACATCAAATAATAAAATAGATCCTATGATCTCCAAGACAAATAGACAATCCAAGGGACAATAATAGCACAAATATATTGTTAATGAAATAATTAAAATGTACTAAATGTCTTTTGTATATTTGTATACAACTTTTTAACAATAAAAGCAACATTCATTTCCTTTACATATGCTACTTAGATCTCCTTTGATATCACCAAGTTTGAATACTCTGTATATAAATACTATCACTTGAAAAACTATATTTTAAAAAGAATTCTATTGTATTCAGTAATTATATTTGCAACATCGCCTTCCTTCTGGACAGCTTGCTTTTTGTTAATAGGCTAAAAGCTTACATTTGAATGTTAAATTTAATACCAGTAGTAGACATATAATATAACATTTCCATAATGATAAGGAAGACATATATCATGTATGATTTTTCTGGATACAACTTTAGGACTGACAATGAGGGAACATAACACTTAAATTTTGCCTTTCTGGCCCCCAGCTTCTAGTGATCTCTGCCATAGAAACTTCAGATCACAGAGTTTTGTACTATTTGTACATTTACTTAAAAGTTATACTTAATATTGTGGGATGGAGTTGAAACTGGATTGGCCAATGCCATGTTACATCAGCATTTCAGTGGTTTTCCTGTATGAGACATACTTCATGACAATTACCTAATGGAAATTCCTATTTGCTTGGCATGACAAAAGATTGCCTATAATCTGTATCTGCATTTTTTTTTAAAAAAACTACCTTTTCAGAAATAACATTTTCATTAGATATTATTTTGTTTCAAAAGCATTGACCTTTTTTCTTACTCATTTAAAAGAAAAATGAATGATAGTTTCTGATTTGCCCCTAATGTATTTTGGATTTATTTTCTCTTGTCTTTTCTCTGCTACTTGATTTTTTTTTAAAGTTAGAGACACTAGTGCTGAAAAGAATACTTAAGAATAAATCTAGAAGAATGATACAATGTATTGCAACTTAACATCTAGCTTTCATATGTGTAAAAGTCATAAGCATATACAACATGCTTATTTAATGATATCACTAACTTTGCAATTTTATGCACTTTTATTTGGGAATAAGTTTTTATTTAACTTATTTTAGATAGTTTGTTGCTGCCTTCAACAGTATTATTAGCATTGTTATTAGCATTGCAAGCTATCTTAAGAAACAAGAGAGATGTAACAAAAATTGATTCAGCCAGAGGAAGCCCTCAAAGTAAAATGAATTATTAATTTGAACTGGGAATTTAGGATGGATGAATTAAAAAAACAAAAAACCTGGGTGGCATTCCATTTTAATATTCAATACTCATTGACTTCCAGAATAAGAGAAACTGTAGATCTCTGACTTCAATATCAAGGGATCCTTGACTGCTGGTGAGTATATGTACATCCAGTGTTGCATAAAGTGGTTTGTTCTGGAATATATTTAAACTTTTTGGTTTAGCATTTAGCTCTAGGATTTTTTGAAGGGCAAAAAATGAATATGCCTAGCTTTTTTTGAAATCAATGTTGTTTTAATGCAAATAAAAACATTTCAGAGCATCATGATTCTTGTCTGAAGGAAAAAGCACTAGCAGGGATGTTTGTGAGGAATATGGAGTAAAGTTGAGTTGAATAACAAACCAGATTCTTCAGACAAGTTTGGAATACTGTTTCCAATTTGGAAACAAACAGAGCAGTTGCCTTATTCCAGGTCCAGTATGCACACAATTTCTTCAAAAACATACTTTAGGGAAGTTAAATATATTGAAGCAAAATTTAAAGGAGTCTTTGTATCATTTAAAACAATAGCTTAGAAGAGGGAAAAAAAAATTTCATTTAAAGAAGAGGTCTTAATCTCAAAATAAATTCAGAAACTCTTTTTAAAAATTCCATCTCCTTACAGATTCTTTTTTAATCCTTCAGTTGAATACATAGATTTTAACATTGTGAGTTACTCTTTAAAGCAATGATCTTTAAGCTTGTTACTCTTAGACATCTTTTTTTTTAAAATCAAGTTGTCTGAAAGCTAATTCAAAAGATTGTGAGAAAATATTCCAGATCGTAACAAATTCACGCTTAACATGAGCCTTACAATTTTTGTGCATAAACTAAGACTACCACTAATAGCATAAAAAGACAATGTTTTAATGGTTTTATGGCTCAATACACATTTCCAACTGTTTTGAATAAACGGGTCTTGAGGTAGGTTATTCAAAATATGTGGGAGGGTGTGTATTGCCAAAAATGGGTGGTTTACTGCTGATTTCATGATCTGAACAATCTTTGGATTGATGCATGTTACAAAAATGAGCTATGTTTTCTGGGATCTATGAGTTATGGACTGCCCTCCCTAACCTTAAGTTATTTAACCACACTCCCTCTTCATTGGGACATGGAGGGAAACAAATAGAAAACTTGTTTCCAAAATAGTTTGTCTAGAAAGTTTTTCTTCTGTGTCAGGATTTTCAGTGAGAAATATGCAAAACATTTTGAAGAAATGCAACAATTCCCTGAAAGACAGCCTTGAAAAAATTGACCAAAGATACTATTTAATAAAAAATAAATTTTATTAAACATTTTTCAAAATTTAAAAACGTATTTACATTTCCAGCAACATTACAACATTGTCAACATTCCCGTTCATGTATCAATTACTATGTTACTTTTATGTCTATTGTCTAATCAAGTATACCAGGCATCCCAGACTAAGTAATACTCTGTTTCGTTTCTATCTTTTAACTCAGTCTGTCCATCTCTGCAAAGTCTAAATTTTTTTTTAATACTGGCCCCTTAGATTGTATAGTTTCCTGTTTCCAGTACTGTACAAGGACAATCCTGGCCACTGTTATTATATATTATAATGTATATATCGTGTATATATAATGTATATATCGTGCCAGTGCGAGCAGTGTGTGACCAGAGCTGCTGTCTCTCTATAAATAATGGTGGTGGGGGCTGGTGTGCTGGGCTGGTTGGCTGCACTGCTGCCTCTTGATTGGTTGATGGAGTTGATGTTGGTATAATGGGCTGTGTGATGGCCTTGTGAGTTTTGTTGTGGAGATATCCTGGATCTTGTGCTGTAATCTCCTGGGTCGTTTGTTTTTTCCAATGGAAAAAAATCACTACAAAATAAATTATGCTATAGCACCCAAAAAAATCCCCACAGAATCCATCATATGTGCAGTAGAATCCAGCCTAACTAAATTAAATACAGATGAAGCTGATAGAAGAAGACACCAAGTTACTAACATCCTATGCACAAGCAAACCACCCAAAAGCAACTTGCACAAAGAAGAACTAAAAGCCCTGCAAGCCCTAAAAAAGGATAGCAGCATAATCATACTTCCAGCAGACAAAAGGAATGCCACAGTAGTAATGGATAGAAAAGACTATGAAACAAAATTGACAGACCTACTCCAAGACTCCACATACAAACCCATAAACATGGACCCAACCACATTTCTGGAAAAAATAACCAAGAAGAAAATTATAACCAGCCACATGACCAAAGAGATCCAACAGACGATCATCCCAAGAGAAAAATCTTCCAGATGCCCCAAACTATAAGGCCTCCCAAAAATACACAAAGAAGGCATACCTCTCAGACCCATAGTCAGCTCCAGAGGAGCACCACTACAAAACCTAGCTAAACACTTAGCAAAACAGCTACAGCCCCATGCTGAAACAGCAGCTTCACATGTACAAAACTCATACCACTTCTTGGAAATGATCAAAGATCTACACGTGGAACAAGAAGATCTGCTTGTAAGTTTCGACGTG